GTACAATGACATCATAGCATCACTAAGGTAAGAAGAGTTCTATCATTTTGGCAAGAATATCTTTAGTACAGGACCCCACCAATCTGGGCAAATCCATAGCTTCCCCTGTAGATCTACAAGACAAGAAAGTCAGCAGTGCTGGACTGACACAGGTTAAAGTGGTCTCAGAACTGAATCCCACGTTTACCGAACAGCTGGATTTTCAGTCATGAATTCATCCGTGTTCGCCCATAAATCCCTTCTTGGGCTCTAGCTGTATTTTTTAAAACTCTTGATTCAGATTAGTGGGCAACAAATTTGTGGCCCAGAGCTGTATTCAGATTTAACAAACATTTGATCTGGATTTGATTGCCAGATATTTTGCTGGGAAATGGAGGAAAGCTTTGGAAACAGGTGGAAAAATTATGCTGAGATGGTAAGTTTGAACTTGCAATGGGCTTTCTGTTTAGGAACGGTTAAAACCTGATGAAAACCATCCTCTCCACTCATACGCTGTAAAATCTGAAAGGGGAAAAAGAGATGGGCTGTTCAGATGTATTTTTCAGACTGCTCTTCAAGGCTTGCAGAACTGGTGCCAGGATTTTGGAGCTTGCTACCTGGGTGAGACTTGGGGGGAAGGGCCCCCAGTAACCATTCTGAAGTGTGATCTAGATTCTGGGTTCCGAGTCCTAACTTCTCTCAGTGCAATGAAATCTACCAGACATTTATTTCTTTATGAAACACACATTTACATCAGAACTACTAAGAAGTTAAAATAATTGAATTCTCACTGAATTTTACACATAGTAGAAATATTTGGATAATTTAATTTCCAATAGCTGTCAATAAGTAAACATTAAACTTGCATTGCAGTGAACAGACTTACTGCAATACCTGACTCAGCTGACATTTCAGTGATCTTTACATTCATGTATACACATTGTAAATTTAAGTGGTAGGTAAATTCACGTCATTTCTATAAATACTTCTGAAAAACTTTGACAATACAAAGAAAAATCCTCGAGAGTTATTTCACAGGAGGATATTGTATGCCAGTAAGAAAGGTAATTGCTGCTGGTAATTTCACTTTGCATATTCTATAATAACGTTGTTATGTAACCCAATACAAAAAGGCAGTGAGAGAATAACCATCCCTCTCTCCCCTCTTCCATCAAAATGATCCACCAGTTCTTGTTGCTGACCCATGGCACTGTGATTTCTAAAGGCAATACATTCAAGATAAAATGCATAAAGGCATTAAAAATTTTATGTTAAAAGCAGGGAAGACAGAACAATGAAAAAAACTTAGCAAAGTGGTATATGTCATCTTAAAAAAATGGAAAAAAAAACCATAAAATGCAAATGCCTTTCAAGGAGACTGTGCCTTTATGCAGAGCACAAAGCTGTATTTTTCACATCAGTATTAAATTTTAACAATGTCAATAACATGCTGGCACAGGCAGTAGGAGCCAATACTCCATGCAGGTTTCCAAAAATATTAATACTTAGACAACAAGACTTAGACACTCATTTCTTGAAAGCAACTTCAAGACTAACATGAATAAGGACCATCTAGGTGTGGGTCACTCTTCTTCAACTGTACAGCCGTCAGTAGGCAGGGTCAAACTTGATGACTTAGCACACAGACAAAATTTTATTACTCTTGTTTTAAAAGTAGGGCACATCTCCAACGTCATACGACTAGCAAAACTATACTTCAAATTTTAAGACAAAGCTTAGCATGCTTGAATTTAAAAGGAAAGAAACAAGAACAAGCAGAAAGGACAACAGAAGAGCAGCTTCTCATCATCTCTGTCTCTTAGAAGGTCTCCTGCTATGATAGACACAGAAGTTCCAACTTACCACAGCAAAAGAAATGAAAAAAGCCTCCTAAAAAATTAATGCTTTTCCCTGTTTCCCATCAAGTCTGTGTTTCTTCGTACCCCTTCCGCATTCTGTGCTTCCAAAGGCCAAGGAATGTCTGTCTGGTTGTCTGTCTAGACTACCCAAGTGAGCTGTGAACTCCTCACACCCCAGAGTGATTGTCCTCACATGGTGCTCACTGCTAATGAGTGTGGCTGCTCCACATCAGCAGCCCTGTGCCACGTGTCATTACAAAGGTATCCAAAACCCAGCAGCAAACATCTAATAACAGTGTGCATATAACACAGTGCATTCGCAAATGCTCATAGCTTCTCAAGTATCTGCTAGGAATGATAATAATCAGCAGTGAGTAAACCAGTAGCTGTAATAATTAGCTCGCCTATCTAGAAGAAAGATTACAGAGGTAGCCTCTGCTGTCGAACTGAGCAAGGCTAAAATCAAAAGTTATTTCCAACACGATCGCAGATGTTAAGAGGAAAGGTTGCTGTGAAATTGCTTTGTACGTGACAGTGCGAGCAGGCCAGTAATACCATGTCCATTAGCACACTCTTAGTAGTATTTCTGCATTTCTTTCAGACTGTATCCAGGTGTTTTTTTCTTGTCAGAGCATACTCTGAAGGCTCCCTTGAGGTCAGAGAGAGTCTTGCTAAAAGCACATTTAGCACATATGGGAATTTAGTAACGGCTCATTTGTGCCCTTTGAAGGCTATGGTCAGAGGCCTTTGGATCCAAGGCACTGCATCTGTGTGCATTCATAATTGATTATTACATTCAGTGTGCTCCACAATGTGTGGCACAGATAAGCACACATGTGTACCCACACCTTGAAAGACTGGTTTAGATAAATAATACTTCATGCTCTGGGAGGAGATGCAGGTATTGATTGCTGCTACTTGAGGAGCAGACAAACTATTTGTTTAAATGATGTTTTGTCACTTGAAGAACCTAGAAAGAAGTCTTTTGTGAAGGTTAGCAATTGCTTGCAACAGGTTAAAAATTTACTGCACAAAGTTCTCTATGTTGAGAAGGCTAATTCAATCACCTGCAATGACATTGTTTCATCTGACATGCATTATTTTGCAAAAAAAAATCCCTCATTTACTGAAAAAATTAGAAAGGTTCAGCTGTATCAAGGACTACAAAAACTATTCCTTATAGCAAAGTCAAGATATTTTATTTCACTTCTTTCTACTTGGAGTGGGCTGTCCCTGCTGGGACGCTGGGTGCCCAACAGAGCTTCTCTGTCACTCCTTCCTCAGCTGGACAGGGGACAGAAAATAGAACAAAAGGCTTGTGGGTGGAGATAAGGACAGGGAGAGATCACTCACCAGTTACCACCACAGGCTAAACAGATTCAGCTTGGAGAAATTAGTTTAATTTATTACCAATAAAATCATAGTAGGGTAATGAGAGATAAACCAAACCTTAAAGCACCTTCCCCCAACCCCTCCCTTCTTCCCAGGCTTAACTTCACTCCCAGTTTCCTCCCACTGAGTGGCGCAGGGGATGGGACATGGGGGTTGCAGTCGGTTCATCACCGTTGTCTCTGCTGCTCCTCCCTCCTCAGGATGAGGACTCCACACAGGATACAGTCCTCCATGAACTTCTCTAATGTGAGTCCTTCCCACAGACTGCAGTTCTTCATGAACTCCAGCTTGGGTCCCTTCCATGGGGTGTGGTCCTTCAGGAACATACTCATCCACTGTGTGTCCCCCATAGAGTCCCAGGTCCTGCTACCAAACCTGCTCCAGCGTGGGCTCCTCCCTTCATGGGACCACAGGTCCTGTCAGGAGCCTGCTCCAGCATGGGCTTCCCATGGGGTCACAGCCTGCTTAGAGTATCCTCCTGCTCCTGCGTGGGGTCCTCCATGGGCTGCAGGTGGATATCTGCTTGGTGACAGCCTGCCTCACCATGGTCTTCACCATGGGCTGCAGGAGAATCTCTGCTCTACTGCCTGCAGCACCTCTTCCCCCTCCTTCCTCACTGACCTTGGTGTTTGCAGAGTTGTTCCTTTCACATATTCTCACTCATCTCCAGCTACAGTTGTTGTTGCACTGGTTTTTCTTTCCCCCTTCATGAATACATGTCACAGATGTGCTACCACCACTGCCAGCAGAAGGCCCACCTTGGAGCCATCTGGCATTGACGCTGTCAGACACAGGGGAAGCTTGTGGCAGCTTCTCACAGAAGCCACCCTTGTAGCCTCCCACCCACTGCCAAAACCTTGCCACACTAACCCAATACACTACTTAGATATTTTTTTTTTTAAATACAACAAAGTATTTGCCAAGGTTTAAGTATGTCCACATCACTGTCCATTGTCATATCAGGATACTTCACCTGGTTACATTTATAAGGGAAAATCAATTTGGATACCACATTCCCACTTGAAATTAGGATGTGATAACTGCCAATATAAAAAGTAAAAAGCATTTCTGCTTCTTCCAGCTTTACTCTGCATGTGACAGAGCACTGGGGATGCCAGCTGCATGGTCTATACTGCCTGTTTCACCTCATCTTATGATACTCCAACATCATCTGGAGTAAGTCTCTATCCAGACTGTGCCAGAGGGCCAAGATGATGAGGAAAACTGAAGCTGACAAGGAAGCAGGCATGCATGGAAATGAAGAAGAGGGAAAACAAAACACAGTCAATGCATTTTTTTCTGCTACTGCTTTGAGAACTACTTGTTGCACCATCATAGACCTCATCAGTAGGAACAAAAGTCTCCTAATCCAGCCACATAACACACACTTTCTTAAATTCATTGTGCACATAAAATTTCACTGGCTTTGTAGAGCACCCTCTAATTTTAAATGCATTAATACCAGAACAACAACACATGTCTGTTTATGGTATTCATTCCTACCAATTGCCCAGCAGCATAGCACAGTCAAGACTCAGCTACAAAGGAATATGTCATTAGAAATTGAGGTACAATAAAGTTAAAAGACATCACTTTATTTATAAAAGATTTACCTAATAATTTATGAACATAATTTTTCATGTCTTTTAAAGATATTAAAAACCAAATCCAACAAAATCCACATCCTGTGGCAGTAGACATTTTGCAGCTAAGGAAAAGAGCAAAAACACTTCAGGGAAGAAAAGTGGAGGGAGAAAATTACATACAATTATATCACAATGCAGCACCTCTTTATCTTTCCAAAGGCAGAAAAGTGAACTTATGCACCTAGAACTACACCCTGATAGGATCTATTAGTCTCCAGATCTATATTTTGCATCCCCAATATTTTCCTTTGTTAAGCATGATTTCAGGATTAATAACTGTCCTTTCTTTCATCTTCAGGTTCACACATACTTTTCCATTTTTGTAGTTCCTGAGAACCATTTATCTTCCATACTTCAGCAAAGGACTTCAGTTTTTTTCTGCAGGGGGAAAAAATATTAGAGTCAAAATATGGACACATTTTTAAATGAAGCACATCAAACCTTGAAGAGCCCTACAGTCATCTGCAACATTTGATACAGAGTAAAAAATAGCAGTTTGCAGAGCTCAAATGTTATGTGGTCTTTAAACAATTCGTTAACATTTTCCAATGTATGTATCACAGCTCTGGGACAGTCAACAATTTAATTTTATAACTAACTTACAGAAGCGTGGAAAAAATGAAATAAAACACTGAGCAAGAGGAAATTATTAGAGGAAACACATAGCATTGTAGTTTGTACTGTTTAATTTTCAGCACTGAGTTCCTACAAATTTACATTTATAGAACCATGAACAGGTAATGCTTTTTCAAAATAAATGACTCTGCATATCTTTTTTTTTTTTTTTTTTAAATTTAAGAAGGACTCCTAAGAGTTGTGACAAATAACAAGACATTTAAAATGGCTTAACACACATTCCCAATGACAAAGATGTCAAGACTGGATGGAATTATCCAGTGGATTTTCTTAAATAATATGAAAGTGATTTAAAAAAATAAGACAAGGCAGCAGGCCTGGGGATACTGTGACAGCACAAGCATACTGCTAGGAGCAGGTCTGAGTTTGATTCCCAAGACCATAGTATTTTTTTATATCCTACCACAGATATACCATAAAACTTGTTCATGTCTGTTTTAGGAAAAAGGTGTAGAAATTATATTTGATGTTTAGATCACACAATTGCAGTAAGCAAAAATAAATAGGAATGCACAAAAGAAAATATTTCCATAATGACCTACACAGGAGAACTGTAAGAATTAAGAATTACATAAAACCATAAGTTGTGCACTGTGAAATCATCAGACACATCTAATTTTTTTTTTTTCTGACTTGAGCTACAGGTTTATATAGGTATATGATGTTCCCTCCAAAGTCCATGCAGGAGGTCTGTGAGGAAGGAATAGTCAAACCCAGTGAATCAGCAGTGGCTGTGTGGTGGATGTCCCTTGTCCCTGCATAGCACTGCCTCTCATCCAAGGGGGAGGAAAATGTGTCCAACTGCAGAGGGGGTAGGTGGGTTTGGCAGGCAGGGGGGAAGTCCCAAGGTTCCTCTAACAACTGACAGAATCAAAAGCCTTCTCCTCTTGCTCCCACCCCTTCCTTCTTTCCTTACAGCCTCAGTGACAACTCAGGATAAAGGACTCACCACAGCTTTAACCATTTTTTCCTTTTTCTCTTCAAGAATACAAGGAAATTGCATACCAAAAGCTAAAATACAGATCATAGATTACATATTCAAAAGCTGATAAATGGGAGACAATTAAGTCCCATAATTAAGATTGCCCAGTCAGCCCTCACTCTACTTCTCTATAGGCACTGTAAATCAGTCGTTTAACCACATCATCACACACTATTTTTATTGCTTACAGGTTTTGTATGCAGTTAACTCTATTTTTAGCAATAGAGGCATGCTAGAACTCTCCTTCTGCTCTGTCCAAACAATATGCTAGCATTATTTTCTTAGAAAGGAGGATAAACTAAAGGGACAATTATTTCACATCATAATTTATTGTACAGTAGCTCTGGCCTTCCAGCTGATACTGTCACCTTTCTGAACAACATTTTTTTCCTGATTATAGAGCCCCTTGTATCCTATAACAACAGAGTTAAGAAATGGCTAGTAATTTGTTGTTTTACTTTTGTCAGTTATGGACAATTAGTTCCAATTTACATAAGCTACCACATTGTTTTTCCCATAAACTGTCATGTACCTTCAACAGAATGTTTTTATTTTGCTTTCTTAAAAGGAAATAAAAACTGGTGTTAAGCGCTAAGCACCATTAAGTTTCAAAATAACTGCTTGTACCTACAAGTAATTAGTATTTCAAATTTTCTCACATAAAATAATTCTTTCAGGATTAGCTACAGCCATCAGACAGCAAAGATATGATTTATTATATTCCTAAAGGGCTATCTGAATTTTGCTGATAGGACAGGCACTGAAAATAATAACAACAACAACAAAAAATCAGTGGAAATGAATATGAATACTAGCACATAATTATATCTAAACTGTTTACATAATGTTACAGGTCTTATTAAGATGATGCTATTTGAGACAAATGGAAATTTCCATAACTAGTCTAACATTGAAATCCTCAGACTTTCAGTAAATTTTTTTGTTTGGGGGGCCAAAGTATATTATAAAAACATATATTTACATTAAATCAGAAGAAGAGTATCTTCATCCTCTTCCACACTTCCATTGTATTTTGTATGCAAATACAATTTCAAGTTCCAAAGTGAAGAATATACTTTCTAAATTAAACCTGTTCATATTTTCACTATCCCCAGTAAGAACAGAAGTAGGTATTAGAGTGTAGCTATATTTCAAATTCGTCTTCCTGAAAACAGTGAAATACAAACTTTCTACTATTTTCCATAAGAAAATAAAAAATAGTTTATTCCTAATGTTCGCTCAGTGTGCTTTTTATTTTTTCCAATCTTGTTTCAGGTGGCAGCAATTAAACAGTGACATAAGAGCTAATTATAAAATCTAAAGCTTTGATTAAAATAGCACAATTTCCTAATCTTTTTTTCCAAAGTTTTGTTTCACTCTCTGTTCCCTGAAGGGTAGAATGATATCTGAAGTAGTTTTTACTATTCTTTTTAATGCACATTGCATGAAATGCTTTTCAAGTCATAGCTGAAGTTTCACTGGGGGGTCTAAAAAAAAAAACCAAACCAAAACAATCACAATTGCTCTGACCTTTTCATATTCACTGTTCTCTCTAACTCCTTTGATTTGTGAGCTGCCTTCTTCAAGATTTCTTCAGGAATATCTGCCAGTTTGGCAACATTTAGCCCATAACTCCTTGCAGAGACTCCTTTAGTTATTTGATAAAGAAAAGTGATAAATTCAGGTTTCTCTTCATCTCCATATCCTGGAAAAAAAAAAAAAAAAAATAAAATTCATGCTTCTTTGGTGATTTATTCCACTGAAGAAATATGAAATAAAAATCATTCCTTGAGATCACATTTTACTTGCCCATTTTGAGACTGACAAACTCTTTACTATATTTTTACCTGTTGTCTCACAAATATTCTTCTGAAAACTAAGCAGCCACAGTGTAAATAGAAGGCCTTTGCATTTGTAAATAATTGTTTAAATGAGAGGAAACAGACTGTAAGTCATTTTTCACCATGAAGGGTGATCATCACTGCAGCTAGAGCTGCTCAACATAACCATTATCAAACTAGAAAAAGAGCTAAGCAGTAAGCTGATAAAATTTACTGAAAATACTAATTCAGACAAATGGTGGCAAGAAGAAATATTGTAACTCTTCTGCTTGGTAAGACCAGAACTGAATCAGATTGTTATAAACAATAAAGAAAATTAAAACAACCTGCATGGCATAGGAAGGATGAACAAAGATTATTCCTTTACCTCTTCTATTTCAAGCACTGGGACCATCAAGTGAAGCTACATATTGTTTCAAAACAGTTTCAAATTAAACAAGAGGAGGTGGTTCTTCACACAACTGTGTTAGAATTTTGGAGCTCCTTGACATAGTAGGATGAAGATGCTAAAAGTACACAAAGATACTCAGGAGAACTAGACAACCTTGTTGAAATGAAATGTGTCAGAGACAGGAAAACCAGAAAACACATCTAGTTCCTGAGGCCCTCTAAACAGCAAATGTTTGCACAGTGAGATCTTTTAGAAAAAGAGCTGCCATGTGTTTAATCCCTAATCCCTTCTCCCTAATCCTTGGTATTTGGCTTCTGCAAAAATTTGGATGCTGGGCTAGGTGAGCCTTTTATCTTATATTAAAGAGAAATGATGGTTCAGTTTACAGGCCCCCCAGAATGTGTGTATAGGCTGACACTCCAGTGAGTTTGGATGTATTGCTTTCATGCTGAAGTTTAAAGTACCCTAACACTTTTACAATTTCTGCCTGTATCTTTAGTGCCAGAAACTCAGACAGATTTATACACTACCTTTTTGTTGAGCACTTTCCTCCTCATTGACCAAGAAAGCCATGTGGTAATTACCAACTTTTTCTGGATACATCTTCTCTAGCTCACAAACTGAGGGATAGTGAGTGACAAACAGTGTCAGTGACTTCACCTACAACAATGAAATGGACACATATGAATTTTTGGCTTCAATTTTTTTTTTTTTTTAAGCACAGCAACATAGAATTGCTTTGTTAATCTCTTAACTATATCCCGTTGCTCTGAGTTTGGACATGCCACATTTCCATAAAGAAATACACACCATGTCAAAGTCAGCCTACCATCATAGAGGCTTAAAAAGCATTCACAAGCCACGTGCCTCATTGAACACTTACATCCTTAATAAAATGTTCAAGTGTAGCATAAGCAATAGCAATTCCATCGTGTGTGCTGGTTCCTCTTCCCAATTCATCCAAAATTACTAGGGATCTTGAAGTTGCTTTTCTTATGATCTCAGCAGTATCTGTCAGTTCTTCCATAAAAGTACTTCGTCCTTTGTAAATGTTGTCTGCCGCACCCATTCTGCATTCGGACACAAATCAGGTCAATTTATGAAGTTAAAATAAATGCCAGATAATGCTGAAAAACAAATCACCATAATAAAAACATTTTGTTACAAATCTCCTGTTGCTCCAAGAAAAGCAGGAAAACCCAGGCAGAACATTCACCTTTCAGAACAAGCTACTGCTTAGGAAAAAAAATCAAAGTAATTACACAGATACACAATCTTAGCAGCATGCTTAAACATGATTTTCAGAGGAAGATTTCTTTCCTTATCCTTTTATATAACTGTCTGTGAACATACTGCCCTCCACCCAGGTGAGGTTCTCCTCTGCTCCGCAAACATACACAAATTCCTTCCTGTTTCATACAAGCCTTTAACCAGTGTTCCAGTTTCATGCAACCTTCAATCCTCAAATTCTACCTCAAACTGTGAAATTGCAGTTTTCGTCTCAGAAACATGTTAGTAATTCACCCTGCTTTCCTATTCTTCTGCAACTTTCCTTATGTATTCGATAATACACTTTCCACTTTCTGTATTTGCTTTTCAATTACATTAATCACATCACAATATCACTTCTGAGACAGCCTATTGCTTGCAAGTCACTGAATAGGACTGGAAAAATGGATTTTTTCACTCCCATCAGCCAATAATACAGTTACATACAGGCCACACTGATTTAAGGAAAACTGACTCATGGGCTTAGCGTATTATGTTTTGAAGTAGAACAGCTGGCCAGAGCAGCATTTAAAGCCAATCAAACCCTTTAAAGAGAATCCCAATATAGCTTTTATTTTCTCTGTCTTTTCCTGCATCTCTAATATAATTTTGTTGTCTACAGGAGCACTTGCAAGGTATCATTTTATGAGGACCTTATCATTGTCAAGAGTAACTGAGTACCACTATCAAAACCTAGCAGGTCAGACTCAGTACCATTCTAGGGTTCCTGCCCTCCAAATTTGGTATGCTGGCATGCATAACTTCACAATGTGCAAATACTCAACTATAAGTGAGCCAGTTTGTGTTGGAGATGGGTGTTATGATACGATGATCAAACTAAGTGATTTTATTTCATTGAGTGTGTGCTTGCTCACACACACAGCAGGTGTGCTCCCACACACTCTGGAAGAGATTTTGAACATAAGCCAATTAAACTTTACACGAATCCCACTGAATTAAATATATAATTCGGAATATTGAGGCATTGTGAAATTGACATTTTATTAAGCCACTTACTACTGTAATCCTTTTCAATTCCCTTTATCTCAATATTGGGCAGATTTACAAAGAACAATATAACATATCTATTTTTAACACTATTAACAGCAAATAAGTTTACCAAAATGACAAATATTTTTCATGTCTGAACAAGCTCTGGCTCCATAATGGGCAACTTTAACCTTAGTTTCAGACCCTAGGATTATTAGTACTACAATTTTATAATTTTTATTTGGCTTTTCATTACAGAGACACAACAGGCTGTCTGTGCTGCACCTATGATGATTACACTGAGAGTTCTCAGTTCTATTTTTCTCTTGGATTGCATCATTTCCATAGAGCCCTCAAGATCATTTAGTCATTTTGGACCTAATTTGCATTCATGAAAATAATTTTCACAACTTCCTCACTGAATGCTCAAGATACAAACAAAAATGAATATTATCTTTCTCTTGCTGCTAACAACAGCTGCAATAGAAGCCTTTCTTTTCATCATCTTAAAACATTCAAATATGACTCAGGCTTATCTACAGATTAAAAAAAAACCCCAACATGTATTTGTAAATGACATAAAACCCCTTAAATGTCATTGTTCTTTCAGCCTCTGTCCTTGACAATAGAAGAATCTTTTTTTTTAAGCTTACATGATAAGCAATGTTATCCCAGAAAAAAGACTAACTGTTTTGATGTAGATAACTGCATTTATAAAGCCAACAGTTAATATGCAGCAAGGTATTGCTCCCTAACTATATGCTATATTACTCCTGATACAATGAAGTTTTGGAGTCAAAACATGTACTGCTTAAACAATTATTTTTCTTCAAAACAAGGAAGATAAATTCCACTAAACTTCTACAACATCCAGTTGCTTTGAACTTACATTTTAATATACCTTGCCTCCTAAATATTTTTATACATAAAAACATTTAACTTTTTCCTGTAATATTCTGTCCACGAGTAGCGTGCAGACATCCAATGTGAAAAGTGCCTCTTTAGTGCTGTCAAGAGATCCATCACACCTCAGAATATGCAATATGGCTGGAAACCACTTGTTATGTCTCTGACAGCCAACCAAATTTCATAAAATTAAAAGCTCTTCATCTTACAATTTTCAAGACATTTATTATGTAAATTAAAAAAGAAAAAAATTAAAAGGAGGCATTATCTCTTTTCAGTGCTAGGTTTCAGGTGGTAAAGATTCCTGTCAATAGCTTCAGAAAAAAAAATTTGGAATGTTTTCATAAATTAATTTTTGCAGGGTAAGTTAGATGATATGCAGCAGTAGTTAGCTTTATGTAAACCAGCTAGCACTATATGCTTAGCCTACAGGTGACCCTTCAGAGAAAGAGACACAGATTTCCTAATTTTGCCATAGCAGCATCCAAATGGTTGTTTTATAAACGTGCTCTCCAGAGTCAGTCCATGCAGACAGTACCAGCCTTTCTAATGCAACTGTTCATCATCCTGGGAAGGTATCCTATGATATTTTGTCCTATAAAGCTCTATAAAAGTGGTGAAAATTTTTAATGATAGAAGCTTTGATACTACTCAAAACCACTAGAATTAAATAGCATAACTTTTTCCCCTTTATCTCAAGAATTTTTATGTAGTCAGTATCCATTTAAACTTGCTCTCAACAGGCATAAACTAATAGCACTAAACTGTGTGGCCCGATACGTTACCTAGAAGTCTGGTGCTTTCAAGTGTTTGATTAGCTAGTCACATCTGAAGGCTATGACCATGAAAAATGGCCAAACCATGACCATATTTTCATGAACCATGAAAAATCTGTATGTAAGGAGGAAATTCAAATTGAAGCCACCGAACGCTGCTTGGCAACCTGTTATTGCTGCTTTCAAAAAACAGTTTCCTGGAGGAGGGGCCAGACTTGCAGACTTGATGACTAACACTGGTATAAGAACAACAGAATAGTCTAAGACATTGTTTTGGAGTGGAGCAGAGAGGCCTCCAGAAAAACACAGCTCCCCTATGCTGCTAGCAGTGCAGAGGTGAAAGTGATGACATGTAGATTAAAGCAGAAATTGTTCCAGTATGATAGAAAGCAGTGAAAAAAATTCACAAGGAAAACAAAACAACACCACACCCAAACACTGAAATCCAGAAGCTTCTAGATAAAGCTTTTTCCATGCTACCTTTCAAAAGAAGTTATCCAACATGCTGTTAGTTGGGCTGGTTATAAAATTAAGAGCACTGTGTGGACCATAGGTATCTTATTTTTATGTTATTGCGAATCTCTTACGTTGCTTCTGAAAATGATCAAGCAGCCCAAGAGGTATCAAAAAGCAACTACATAGCACCAAATGAATCCTAGAAAACAAAGACTGCAAAACCACTCCCTAAGGCCTTATTTTCACACAGCTGTCAACATCCTGATGTTTTTTATTCATTCCTATTTTTAAAAAAAAACTTAATGTGAAAAAAACTTAAATTTAAGATTTTTCACCTTGATTTTGGAAACATATACTTTACTTTAAAAGTTCACCTCGAATACCTCCCAGAGAAATGAAATCTAGTGCCTGTTACAGAAGAATAAAACTAATTAGTATAGCATCTCTACACACTGCCTTTGTGGTTCTCAAGAGGAGGCATTTAGGTTTCCAGGTATGGTTTGTATTCCCAGGAATTAGAGTTGAAGCCAGACTTCATCTCAGAATGTACTCATAGTGAAATCATTCATTCATCAAGAACAATTAACATTAAAAGAAAATTACTCTCTTCTCTGAGATTATCTTAAACGTCAGTTGTAGAATACCACCCTCTCAACACCAACAGACATTCCTTCTGTGATTCAAAGAGAGCACTGAGAAAAACACAAATAAATTCATAATGTGACTTTACATTTCTACTCATTCCCTCTCACACAAAACCCTTCAAAATGTCATTTCAAAGATCACTGTATTTGAACAGGAGTTATTTAAATTAGTTTACAGAATGAAAGTATTAGATGGGCTCTTGCCTTACAGTTTATCCCTTTTCCTGCACAGGACCCTTCTCTAGAACATTTTTCTTCCATCCACACCATATCATTAATTTTTTTTTAAAGATCTTTGTATTTTTTTAAAAGGTATCTTTTCTTTTTTTTTTTTTTTCCAGAAGACTCTCCTCCCAACTGAAGTCTCATGTGGTTTCTGCAGAGAACCAATAGTTGCAAAAGTCTGAGTATTAACTGAAGATTATGTTAACTAGCACAAGAAAACTTGATATTGATCGTGGCATGTATGGAAAAACACAAGTGTAATTTCTTTTCCACACTTAGGTAAATCTTCTCCCATTGGACTAGGTTATTGACTGTCTTTTAGGTACTTAGCAAACAAGACTTCCTGAGACTTCACAGGTTACAAATCAAAAGCATTTTACAAATTGGAGTGACAGAAAATGAAAACAGGAATCCTAAATGGAGACTTTACAGACTGACTACTGCATGTCCTCTCCTACAGTGGTCCCAGGAACCCAAACACTTTTAACCAGAACAGTCGGTTTTGCCCACAGAAGAGATTTGAAACCCTGTGTATTTTAGGAACACTCCGACTGCTAATAAGAATTTCACAGTGGGTGGCATAAAAGTAGCCCAGCTTGGATGTTTTAACTTCTGGCTACTTCCCAAATACAATGAAAATTTATCAAGTAATTCTTTAGAAGACAGCATCTACAAATTTATAACAGTTCACTGTCAAGAAACTAATGCTTCACACTCCTCCACAGAGATCTGGCAAAGCACTGACTTCACTTCCATCAAGCTCTTACTGATTCAACCCAAAAACTGACAATAAGAAAATTAATT